TGGCTGGGAGACCCACTTCTGCAAAATGGATAACCCCACTTCGGGTTCCTCTCCATCATCCATCCCCGCCGACCAATAACCTGGCCCCGCCAGCCTTACTGTCATGCTCCCCTGTTTCCCTGGAGACTATTCTCCCCATTTTGTAGATCCAGGATCAGCAAATTTTCTGCAAAGGGCCAGAGAGTAAGTGTTTTGGGACTTCCGGTGGCAACTACATACTTCTGCTACCACTGTTTTGCCCAGATTTCAAGATCCCCCAAAGGACACCACCAGGGAGCGCCGATTCTGATGCAAAAGCATAGTCTTTATTCAAGCTCAGCTTGGTCCCTCTGCCTCTACCTGCACAGTGGTAGGATGCGAGAGAGCACGGAGTTTTGAAAGAACAAAGACTTTATAGGGCTTTGGGGGGGTGGGGGTGAGGGCTCACTCGGACCACTGATTTGGCCGATTCTGGTTAGGGTGCAGTTAGGGTCTAATTCAGCCGTGGGTAAACTACGGCCCGTGGGCCAGATCCGGCCATTTTAAATGAATAAAACTAAAAAAAAAAACCCAAAAAGCCATACCCTTTTATGTAATGATGTTTACTTTGAATTTATATTAGTTCACACAAACACTCCATCCATGCTTTTGTTCTGGCCCTCCGGTCCAGTTTAAGAACCCACTGTGGCCCTCGAGTCAAAAAGTTTGCCCACCCGTGGACTAAATCCTTCCAGGAGGGGGTGGGGTGGGACCATAAAGCTGTAGGGCACATACCTCCATTGCAGGCTCGATCCCCGGCCCTGGTCAGGGTGCCTGCGGGAGGCAACCAATTGATGTGTCTCTCTCACATCGATGTTTCTCTTTCTGTATCTCTCCCCCTCCCTTCCACTCTCTCCAAAAATCAATTTTAAAAATCCATGGGTGAGGGTTAATCAAAAAAAATGGTTTAGATAATAAGTTTTATGTTATGTGTACTTGATCATAGTTTTTAAAGAAGTGCCCATAATAAAAGCTGGAAAAAAAAAGAAAAAGAAAAGAGAAGAACAGAATAAAAGGGGGTGGGGACAGGCATGATGGAATTTCCAGTTTATAAAATCCCGTATAAAATTAAAAGCCAGTGAGGCCATCCTCCAAAGAAGCTACCACTCTTTCAGCTTCTGGGATATCTATGCAGGTTTCTTGTGGAGGAAACACATCAACTCTGGCACACAAACTGTCCTTGTTCTGCCTTTTTAAAAGGTACTGCTTTGTTTTTATTGTAGCAATAAGACCATTTTAACCATCGTTATGTGTCCAATGCAGTGGCAATAAGAACGTTCACAAAATGGGGCAGTCACAACCACCACCCCCGCCCGGGACTCTGGCTCCATCCCAGATAAAATTGTCCCCATAAACAGAACTCTTCTGTCTCCCTCTGTGCCCTGGGAGCCTCTATTCCCCTTTCTGTCTCTCTGAATTTGCCTATTCTTGATATCTCATGTAAGAGAAATCATACGGTATTTGTTCTTTTATGTCTGCCTTATTTCCCTTTGCATAATGTTTTCATTGTGCCCCGCCAGCACGGCCAAGGGTGACCCTGAGAGGGGGCGGTGAAGGATTAGAAAAGACAGACAAGAGAATAAAGCTGGGCGCTAGGTGGGACGCTCGCCTCTCTGATGGAGACACAGCGTCACGGACTACAAGCCGTGTCTTCATTTTATAGCCAGATTCCACGAGGCAAAGTAAGGTTGTGGTCAAGATGTTTACAACATTCTTGTGGGTTTTAATCCTACTCAATGACATGTACCTGAACTCTATCAAACCCACATCACTCAGACACGTGGGGCCACGTGTTCAGACCATAGGTTCAAGCTTACAGCTATAGCCTTTGGCTATAATTGTGCTGGGAGGGCTCTGCCCTCCAGGCTGGGACTTGCACGTGGCAATGAGAGAGAGGACTGTGCCCTCTCATTAGTCTGAGGCTTGAACCTGTCCAAACACTGTAGCGGCTCTCCACAGTTCATCAATGTTGTATCAGAATTTCCTTCCTTTTTGAGGCTGACATGGGTTGGCATCATCCTGCCAGTGGAAGATAGATCTGGCCTGGCTTCACAGCCAGAACACAGGTGTGCATCCTCCTCACCCTCCCCTGAACATAGCCTCCTCCTCCTCCCTCTCCTGCAGGCTGTGAACGCTGCCAAGCACAAGGTGGCGGGGGTGCTGGTGTACACGGACCCCGCAGACGTCAATGATGGACGGAGCTTGCCCAACGAGACCTTCCCGCACTCCTGGCACCTGCCTCCCTCTGGGGTGGAGCGGGGCTCCTGCTAT